TTGTAGAAAAAAAAAGCTAAAAAACAAAATGCATTTTATCAGAGGCGGCTATGCATTCCTTTTCTGCCGATTTCGAAAGCTGTCCAGGATATTAAATTACAGCAGCTCAATTTTGCACACACAGGAAACACAAAAGAACAATGAAGAAGAAGAAGGGTCTGTAACACATTCTACACCCATTTCTTACCCAGTTTGGTGAAGAACTGGTGAAGAATGCCCATAAGGTCACCCAGGGTTAGCCCATAGTCAGCCACCACCCCCTCGATCTGATGGAACTCTGCCAGGTGAGTGGCATCCAACGTCTCGTTCCGGAAGACACGGTCAATGGAGAAATACTTCACCGGAGTGAAAACCTCCTGAATATAAACATACGTAATATGTAAACATATGTAAACATACATTATAATGGTAATTCAGCAAGCTAATAGTAAGGTAAAAAAAAGTAAAAACAGTAAAAAGTATTAACTGTGCTTTTAAACATGAGGGAAAAAAGGCCAATCCAGTACTGAAGCAAGGATGGGTAAGACTTGTTCTATAAGGAAGGCGAGGGAATGGGTCAGTTTCTCACAGCAGTGAGAAGAAGGCGTGGCGCGTGCCCAGGCCTGGCTCTTACCTGCTGAGAAAGGCGGTACAACATGCGAGCGCTCACGGCCGTCGTGTGCGTCCGCAGGATGTTCTTCTGCGCCTCCTCGATCTTCCAGTCGTACTTGTATCTGCAAAAAAAGAGAACGGAGTTTGACACGCAAACTTACAGGACTCTTGGAACCAATAAGCAGCTTAGCTGCCCAGCTACAGAACCGAAGTAGTCTAGTCAGCATCTCAAAGAGGAGCATAGATTGGTTCAGTTTTATTCTGAGTGTTGTCCTCTCACCATCTCTTTACCTTACAACAGCTTTGTGTGTCTGTCTCACCTAGATCTGCCTATCGACATTCCCTCTTACAACCCCGGAAGTACATCCCATTTCGCTCAGGGTGTCCCCTTCTGGGGTCTGCGCAGGCAGGCCCGGAGGCCTCTGTCTCGGCCCAGGACAGCAAGAAGCCGCCGGTGCTCATACCCCTGCGAGCCGAAGCCCCCCTCCGAGTGGACCTTGCGGACTCTCTCCAGGTAATCCTGTGGGAACTCGTGCGCCAGAGCCGGGTCTGAGGGAAGGAGACGGACAAGGAGGAGATGAGGAGAAGAAACCTCTTTGACCTTGAATTGAATTTGTCATGAGTTTGATTCTAAGTAAAAGGCTGACGTGGTCTACTAAGAGCCTTGGCCATGAAAAATCCCCCCCCGTCCATTACATGTTAGTATCTCCAATTACAGCCTTAACAATTAACACCCAGCTGATCTTCCCCTACGTGCTTCCTCTTCTTCAAGAGGAAGAGTGAGAGCTAGCAGCACACTGTCCTGCCACGACAGCAGGGCCTGTAGTCTTCAATCGCTCGAGGAACAGCGGGGCCCGTGAGCTCCTTACCCGACAGGAAGAAGGTATCATGTTGGTCACGGGCAGGGTGCTGCTGGGGTTGGAAAAGGGCATCAAAGTTCCAGAAGGAGCTCTCGATGAAGTTGTTGGTCGGCATCTCCGTGAACCTGGAAACAGATGGGAACGTCATCCTCTCCACCCTTTCGTCACTGGACAAAGGTTACCCTCCCCCAATGAAGGCCGTTGCCTAACCTGCCTCCTTACACTGAAGGACATTAATTGAACTCAGTCAGGGGGGAAAGAGGAATCAGGTCACAGGCTTTTGCTAAAGGGAACTACAACAGTATTTTATATTCAAAACTTCCAAAATAGACAATTTCCAAATACGCATAGCACCATATTGCCATTATTGTCTGCGATTCAGACCGACGCAATGGTGAGGTGAAGCGGCCGTATTATGTTGCAAACAAGCAGGCTTGTGAATACATCTCTATTAATCCAGTAGAAATATTGCTTGCATAGTGGTTTGCCAACAAATACTACTTATTTGTTAACTCAGCATGCAGATAACTTAAGAATGGTTCTGCAGTGAACTGTCTGCTACAGTACTTTCCCAATTTTCTCATTTTGTGCTAAATTGATATTTTACAAATTTTGCGATACCGTAAATTAATTTGTTACCAAGATTTAATAACTGGACTGAGAAATCGGGACTGCAATTCTGCTTGAAAGGTCTGGAGGTTTCTCTATGATTTTGAATAAATAAAGCTGCTTTCATGCTAGCTCTTGCATCTGTACTCATGATTCAATCCTGGCCCTAATTATCTTCCAAGGCGCACTCTGGGGGCCATGTTGATTTAGCACAACTTAACATAATTATTACTGAACACCGAGCTCCTAAATATTCAAACAATGAACCAATACATGTTCAGAAATCAACTGAGAGGTCAGTAATGACTTACTTTTAGGCATGCTCAGGATTTACATTTACAATTTTCAAAGCAGATCAATTAGGTAAGGCCTGAGACATTCGTGTGGCAGTAATCGGGTGAACAGGTAGGCACACTCACCCCATCTCCAGGAAGATCTGTCTGAACTGGGTGCGCACCTTCAGGAGAGGGTGCAGGTGTCCACAGTCTGGGATGATACCCATTGCCTCAAAGTTGTAGGGCTTGAATGACTTGTCACGCCAGGAGCCACTGAGTGACAGGGGGAGAGAGAGAGAGAGAGAGAGAGAACACCTGTGAGGGAAAGGGGTTCACAATCTGGCTGAGGTGTGGAGCCGAACGAGGCGCAATGAAATGACACCACCATGACAACACCTAGCATGAAAAGGAGCACACTAAACCACCTGCAACTGATACTTTGCATCACAAAGCCTGATGTACATGGTCCTTCTGACATTTACAAGGCAAGAACAGTGAACCACAAACCAGTGAGCACCAGTGAGAACTAGGTGGAAATGCATTTCAAACCAAGAATGGAGGAAGGCACTTCAACTTCAACCAACTACTTAAAGTCAATACCTTGGTTACTTTCAAGAAGCTGCTGGGATCAATTATCTACTAACTACCATACAGGCCAGATGGACCAAATGGTCTTCTCTTATCTGTAACCGAGTAAAATAGATCGAAACGTGTTCTGACCGTCTTTTAAAGGTAAACCAGTAAAATAGATCAAAACTGGCAAAACATGAACAAAAAACCGATAAAATAAAATATTACTTTCAGCTGGTTATTTGTTTTGCCTCTCACTCTTAGGTAAGAATGGGTTGGGGGCTGGCACGGCTCTGGGCCAACAGATCAAGTAAGCAGCCCCCAAATGAGTGGAAACACCAGGTCTGCCACCGTCTGGATCAACCTTCTGGATCTGACCAGACTAGTTCATGTGACCAACGCTATACTTGTGCATTCCTCAGGAATCATGGATTCTTCATGGATGACCTGAAACCTGTCAGGTATTGCGCACTGAAAGGGAGTCCTCAAGCTTAAAATCTCAGACCAGGAACATCAGTTTTTGTACCAAGATGAAAATTCCACTTTCCCTTTGAACAAAACAACAACTTGGAGTGTGGGCTTAACCAGCTGGAATTGTCTGTGAAAAACACTTCACCAGATGAAGATGTGGGTCTTCTGTTAAGTGCATTAGTGTTGGCAAATGTTAGTAATTAAGTGTTGAAGGTTAGATGCTGTGTTCTGGAACCCACATAACTAAAATAACACCAGGAGCTTGTAAAGTATGTAATGGTGAAGTGGATATCTATAAATTATAGTTTGCACATTTTGTGCCTAATTTATGTTAAATAAATCCTCATCTTTAAGCTATGGAAGACTTGTTTCTCCAAACAGCCAAAATCCAGGATAACACACCCTACAGATCTTAAGATACTGATGCACTTTTTAAGATGTAGCTTCTAACCACTGTGAGGAAGAGAGGCGGGGGAGGGAAACAGACAGTCTCCTCTTTTTGGCATTGTGCCGATTTTAACACATTTAAGTCCCACACGCCTCAAATCTTGTTCCCAACGACCAGAAAGCCAATTCTCACTTCATAGCAGTCAGCACCTCTTTTCTCGGGATTCTGCCTGGGGATGCATCTGCTTAGCGACTTAGCAAGTGAGGTGAGTGAGGAAACAGCAAGAGGGAAAAAAAAACAGCCCCTGGTTTACATAAAACACAAGCAGCTTGTACACAGGAAAAACAAATCGCCAAGGGGATGACCTTGACAGCTGGCTTTCTTCTGTTAATCACAATTTTCTGATTCAGAAGGCACTGAAAAGTTGGTTAACTCTAACACCAAAAAAAACCCTACAAGCTTTGGAATCGGGACACTAAGGAAGTCACCACAAATAGCCTTGGCATATGCAGTGGATATAAATAGTCTACACACCCTTATTGAAATTGCAGGCATTTTTTTAGACGTAAAGCCAGAAACCAGGAGAAATATCAGACATTTTTCCATTTTTAATGTGACCTTACAACCAACACAATTCAACAAAAAAAACAAATAGTTAATTATTAGGAAAAATAATTGAAATTAATAAAACTACACCACATTCCCTAACTAATACTTTGTGGAAGCCCCTTTTGCATTTATTACAGCGGTAAGTCTTTGTGATTAAGTCTTTATCAACTTTGCACACCTGGACTTTCCAATTTTATGCCACTCTTCCTTGCAAAAAAGTTCAAGATCCTTCAAAATTGCCACGGGACCTCCTGTATATGCATAATTATAAATGCACTGTATTAAAACAACAAAGGAAAGTACACTGTTAACAGTGATGTCTCCCAGACAGCAAAATCTAGGTCCGTCCTACAGACGCAGAAAAGAATACCTGTGGCCCAGATTCAAGTGGCGACCCGCCAAGCCATGTGATTGCTGAAAGCACCCTGGGGCTTGTGTCAAGTCTCAGCTTGAGTGGCAGGACCTTAACGCCCGCTGCTTGGTTTTGCACGGACATCTGGACTCAGGCTGTGCCAAGTCTTCCATAAGGGCATGGGGGAGTTCAGTCACTCCAATGTGTCCCATCTGCCCCCTCACGTGCTGACCTCCCGTAACCGAGAGCCGAGGGAGCGATCGGATTTTCTGGCATTACGAGTCCTTCAGACCTCCGTCTCCGAAACATGGAGGTACAGGTTAATTGGAGAACATCATATGGGTCAGTCTGAAGGCGGTGGTCAACAGAGAGAACTCTGGAGGATTGTAAGCTTTGACTTTTGAAGGACCAACACCCTTATTTATTAAGAGCCTTACTCTTAATCCCAAAACATTTAGACTGCAGGACTGTAAGTCACCAGATGCGCTGTAAGCGTGGTCAGAGCAGATGTGCTGGGCTAAACGGAGCACGTGCCCACAAAGACACTTTCAACCACAAAGGCTACAGTGTGCCTAGAACAATTTTGCCGATTTTTATTACGGTTTGACTGTAACCATCTATGCAACTTGGCAAGAGAGCAATGAATCATGAAGGGAGGGGGGCAGAGATGTAAGATGAAATGCAATAAAGTTAGGATGATTCCTGTCATTTTCACATCATGCTCCAGCCCAGGCTAAGGCACAGACACGGTCCCGGGGGAATTACAGGGATGCCTTCCAAACGTGGGTCGCGGCAGCTTGCTTCTGCCTGGGTCTGTCTCGGTCCGTTTGTCCGTCTGGGTTCAGGAACCCATGGCAGGCTATTGGATAGCAACAGCTGGTCCCAGGGACGAGCGGCAGGTCCAATCTCCAGCAGCATTGCATACAGACACACCTGTGCAATCTAACCTGAACTGGGTCAGCTACAGCTGTGGACACAGCACCTCCAAGCACAGTGTGCTTCTGGTACAGGGGGCTGGAAAAACACATCCTAGCAGACCTGTGCTGCTGTAGTCAAACAGCATTAGTCACCATATTCTACGTTTATGCGAAAAATACTTGCATGCAAGAGTCTAGCTACAGAATTAAGGAAAGAAAGCTGCACAAACTCTGCTAAAGTCGTAACCAATCAGACAACATTGACATCTAAGACAATGTGGCTAAATTAAAAGTACATTTTAACATATGACCTGGTTTGGAGGAGAGTATACTTCATAAGAGAGGAGATCGATGTTGCTGTGAAAAATGGTTTAGACATCTTACATAAATCAGAAATTCCCATATGGGATATGAACATAACCAGTTAACTTAAAACCTCCACCTATGTAAAAGCAATGTTTTGAGAAGAAACTATGTTTCCCAAACTCTAATTCACATTGATAAATCTAAACACCACGTGAACAGTCCATTTGTAGTGAGGCTACTACTTCACGTCAAATGGACTCGCAATGTCGGGTTATGTTTCATACTCACAGAGATATTTACATTCTCAAATCAACCAGACGTAATCAAAGAGTCAGTCTTGTTTTTACTTAGGTGGATCCTTACATAGGCAAAGACCAAAGGTCGTCTCCTGTTGTCATCCATTCGCAGTTTTCAAAACTCCATTGGAAGCAGTGCAGTTAAAACCGACAACAGGGGGCACTTCTTTAGGCAAAGGGTGGTGGGAGTGTGGAACAAGCTACCCAATCATACACTGCTGGGTGAGATCCTTGGATCAAATAACTAACAAATAGGCCAGACAGGTTCTTCTCCATTGCAACTGTTCTTATCTTCCAATTGGCAATCCAAGGGCAGACACAGGGCTTCCATATTCCAGGACTGTGTTCCCTTTGCAACTCTTGCTTACTTTGTTGAACAAGGCGCTCACAGATATTTTTCACGTTGTGCATCTATTCAAAACTTGGTATTTTCAAGTTGTTTTATAAAATGCAAAATCTAAAAGAAAGGCTCCAGCAGGTTTTGGGTTTCAACACATTACAGAGTTATATTTAATTCTATCATTAGTTCAATTGAGGGTTAAGCTATTTACAGTTCTCCTGGAATAAATACAGGTAGGGATTTTGAGGACCAGAACTGGGATTAATGCAGAGTCAATGGAAGGAACACACAAAGGTGGCAGAGCTGAGCTCACACAGTACGTCTGCAAAACGGATATAGATGCTCTTAAAGCCATTTTAATGCCAATTCATGTTTCCCTTAAAAAAGCAACAACGCAAGCTGAACATATTTTCAGGCTTCTGGCAGTTTAATCCTGACAATGCCCATACCCCCTGCTGGAAGAAGGGCAATTGCAAAGTCATTTCCTCTGTAATCCTCTCTCAGCAAGCTGAGATCAAAACAAGATAGCAGAAAAAAAACCCACACAAATCTGGAATATTCCCCTCTGCCTGCAATCCTGATAATTGACCGCCTGCAGTAACGAATTCAATACAGCAGCAATCTGTCCACACCCCCCAGGATGCCTCAATTCAGTTCGGGATAGTTCACCTCCTGGCCCTTCAAGAGCTCCCTGGATTGCTCTGCTCTTCTCCCACGTCACATCAGAGCACTTTGCAACGAACAAAAAAACAGTTTTCCACTAGTGCCAAGGGACATAAGAGCTCTGGAGCACTCTGGATTTTTCCAGTAAATAAAATCAGACATTTCCATCCTATCCTCCATTTTCTGACCACTTCTTCCAATTCAGAGTCATGGAGGCCTGGACTCTATCCCAGCAAGCAATGGGCGCAAGGTGGGATACACCCTGGACAGGACACCAGCCTGTCACAGACTCACACTTGCAACAGGACCAATTGTCCCAGAAGCCAATTAACCTACCAGGATGTCTTTGGAGTGTGGGAGGAAACCAGAACATTTGATAGAAAGAGAACATACAAACTCCACACAGAGGATATCACGAGAATTGAACCCAGGGCCCCAGCACTACAAGATAAAACAGCTAAAAAAAAAAAAGATGGAGTGATAGATACGTGGCTTTTTCAAGTTGGAAGCTTCTTACAGTGCTAAAATAAACATGGGCAAAGAGCTGAGGTGCATTAAAACAGTAAAATGGTGGTCCCAGTGATGGCAGCCGGCGCTTACCTGGCGATCATCTCGGGCGTGAGCTCCGTCTCCTGCCTGGACACCCTTGTGCTGAAGGCGCTGCCCTTGGTGATCCAGTAGGACTTGACCGTCCTGACAGAGAGAAAACAAGGTGCATCATGCTTCACACTTTAACTACACCACCGCCAGGGCTCTATCTCCGGACCAGATGGACACGAGGGGCACCCCAGCACTGCTTTACGACAGTCGCAGATCAACAGGCATTCTAGGTACCAGGTCAAGCTGGGATCTCTAGAATTCCCTGGGATCCTTCAGGAATGAGTCTGACGAGATCCTGAGATGAAGACACCACCAGCAAACCAAACCCACAAAAGAGGCCGAACAACCTTTTTCTCACTTACATACAGTATAACCATGTTGTTATGTCTTTTCAGATTGACGGTTTTAGAGCAGGGAAGGAAGGATAAAGAGCGGATATCTTCTCCTGCAGGCCTTAAATGCATTTCATTTAAAGGTCTATACTCGGTAAAAGGAATTTAAAGGAACAGACATGTTTATTAGTTTGATGCATTTTAAGAATGTGATTGGAGCAGAAGGGTGGTCAGCAACCCCAAGTCACATCCGAAAGCAGTCACAGTCCTTCATATGACACACAAAACAGACACCCCGCTACATGGTTGCTAAATTCAATCTCAGTGTGCAAGAGTTGGGAGTCCAAAGTCTAGCCTCTTGATTTTACATGTAGTTTCCCACTATATTTATTTAGTGTAATGCACTAATTTGAGAGGTTTGCTGAAATATACCTGTGAGTTCTGTCAAGTCTGAATCTTTGGATTCCACTTTTAGGAGGTATATAGTAGTCCTGCTTACTTTCACTGTAAAGGTGTGATGTTACCGTATGGTATTACTAACGATCTTGACCAAAACTAGGCTAACTAGGAAAAGTCTACTAGGAGCAACGAGATTTGCTCAGTTACAATGTTGGCGTGGTTCTAAATATGAGGCATTCCTGAGCTGAATAACATTAATCATCTTTCTCTGGTCTTTTGCTTGTAAAAAGCAGAACTGGGATGTGGCTCCCATAAACAGCCCACCCCACCCTCAGAACCCCCTCAACTAAGGCGACTGACTTTAACGTGCTGCTCTGTTCCGCAGCCTTCAAGTCAAGGAACAGCTGAAGGAAAAACCCCAGGGGAAATTTCACTTAAGATGCCCGAGGCCCTCAACCCCAGCTTGTCAGAGACAGTGATGCAGTGCTGTCCTTAGGATGAGTCAATCTGATCATCTCCTGAGCCCTGTAAACAAGGCAGGTAGCCGTTTGGCAATGGTGATTGCTCTTCACTTTATTACAGCTAATGCAGTCGGAGGCCTCAGAGCACCATCATCCATTTGCTATATTAATTTTTGCTAAAGCCTGTAAGCTGCGTGTTGGACAGGCTCCATCTGGGAGATCCTATAGAAAAAAGCCCCTGGCAGCCCCAGGGCCATTAGCTAAAAGCAATGAGGAAGGGGGGTGGGTGGGCTGTACCGAAATACCAGGAGCTCATCAGCAGTGGCTGAAAATGAGTTGTTAACCTTCATCAAAGGCGCAGTGCCCCAAAGGCCCCGGCAAAGGGTTCGAATTCTAGCACAAGATCCTCTCCCTCTTTCAATGTGTTGGGTGCCAACAATAACTTGATAGGAAAAAAAACGAATAAACGGCAGGTAAAGGAGATGATATTTCAACTGGTTTTGATTTTTTTTCTGTCCTTCAAGATTCATTAACAGTCTGAATATTTCAATGTGTTTTTATCGAATATATAATAAGGCAGCACAGAAAATGCTCTTTTAATGGAACCGATTTATGGATCCACTAAATGAAATACACACTGTTCTATAAGAAACCAGTGTACAATAATAACTTATACAACACAATTATAAAGCACCAGCACCTATTAAAAGAATAAGCCTACATATTTATGTTAACATATAGCACATGTGGTATTCAATTTAGCTTACTGTGTTATTATATACTGCACGGAGACTGTTTAACTTGGGCAGGGGTGCAACTGAACTCTTTATATTTTTGCACACCAGACAACAGCAGGACGGTCAGGGTAGGCAACAGCTGCTTGGTTATTTTAACAGGGTTTAATGTGAAGAAATTAAAAATGGCTTAGGGGGGGCATTTAGTAACTTACCTCCAACAGAGTTCACAGAATATAGGGGAGAAGTCCAGAGAGAACTGATTCAAAATACATTAAGTACGTCACAAAGCCCAACGATATCTAAGAATATCCGACAAATTTTGCACACAGCCCACCGCTCCAGGAGTCCACAATAATTAACTGTGTCCACTCAGGTTTTAATGTTAATCACTCCAGCTTTTCAATCAACCCCCCTAGAGAACAGAATCTCAAAGGCCTCTTCCTCTGCAGCCCAAAATCACCCCTATCAGCAGACGAGCACGGAGGCTGGCAGTGCCTCTTCTGTGAGAGACAGTGGTCCAATACGTACAAACTGAAAACCCAGGCTGCAAGGCAGGGCTCGAATTGGGTCGGTACTGCCTGACATGCAGCACGGGCACTGTTGTTTTTGTGTCGAGGTACTTTGATGGTTTGTGGAACAAAATAAAACCCTCAATAACTCAGTTTCTGATTTTAATCACATTAAGATTCCAAAAGGATGATTATTTCTGAAACACAGAATGTTTAATTAGGGGAACGCTTTTCATCTTAAACCGAGATGATAAAAAGTCTTGATCTTGTTTCCAGCCCCGTTATTGTGATGCTCCCCAGACAAACTCTGATTCCTTCACAGAGCATGCGGATCAATCTTTTCTCTCAAGTCATAAGAAAAGAGTGAGGCAAATCTCTATGTATACAGATCATCCCCAAAAGATATGGCTGCTCAGGTTACTTTTACAAAGAGTTATGCTAATGAACAGGTCTGTTCCCATTAAGCATTTTACCAAGATTCATTTTTCTGACTGGGATAATGGATACTGGCATTCTTTCCCAACCAATTCAAGCACTACTTCAAGTCACCTGGTTATCATTGTCCCCATAGGCTTCTTAAATCACTGATTTAATAGGACATTCATTGGCAATTAGCATCTTTCCCAGGGTGATGCACAAAATAATAATAATAATAATAA